AGGAGGACCTTCCAGAGGATGGACTGACACAGAGCTCCATCGCTGGGCTCCCGGGCATGGGGCATTGTGAGGATCCCACAGACCCACACAGTGTTTCATTCCGTTGTGCAGGGGGTTGCTATGAGTCAGAACCAACTCGACAACAACTAACAAGGAGGCAAACACATCCAATGACCTTTCATTTCTCACACGACAGTAACAACAACACCCCAACTTCTTTCCCGGACAACCCAAATCTCCACCCACAGGTCTCAGCCTTTCGCCGAAGTTCTACCTCAAACCACACTTCATGGAAACGCTCCCTCGGGCAGCATGCACTGGGGGGCTGTGTCTGGAATGGGGCTTGACCAGCCTGAGGATGTAAGGGTGATATGAAGGCTTTCCAGAGGCAATTCCACCCAAGCTTCACTTTAAAGAATGAGAGACATTTTGCCAAGTTGGCCAAGAAAGAAGAAATCATTCTAGGCCAAGAAATAGATCATGTGCAAAGGTCTGGAGTCTTCCTAGGGCAGCCTGACTTCTCTCCCGGAGAATCACGGTCCCTCCTGCACGAAGAAGCTTCTTGCCTCCCATAGGACACACTCACCCTCCTCTTTTTGAGCTTCACAGTCGACTTCTTCCCCACTCCCTTCGGAACCCTGTCGCAAAGGTCTTACTTATTGAACTGCCTTTCTTCAGAGTACGGTCCAGAACTCCCGGGCATCTCCAAGACCCTGTTAGGGGCCTGGGAAGTCAAACTACTTACAAGAACGCTATGTCACCATTGTCCCTCTCCATTCTCACCCTCGCACAAGGACCCAGGGCAGTTTCCAGACTGAAATGCAGCACAGATACGCCTATTCAAAGATTCACAAAAGTGTAAAACAATACCACTCGGCTCCATGAATTTTTGTTTGTTTTGGAGAAGAGCTATTTTGCCATATACATTAGGGAACTGGGTTAAGGCAGATTTGTCCTTTTTAATTTAAAATAAATACAAAGATTGAACCTTTTCCTTTCTCCTCAGTGCCAATGCCCAGCATGACACATTTCTGGTGATGAAATTCACATACACAGAAACTCTTTTTTTTTTGGGGGGGGGTCACCTTTCCGTCATTGTAAGGAGGCAAAAGGGGTCCTGAAATGTCAAAGTGTGAGAACTGCTGCCTAATTGTCATCCTGGTCCAGCCCTCTCCAGTGACAATTTTCTGTCCATTATTGGGAGAAGAGCTGCCAGGTAGCCTGCCCTTTGATGGGACCTTTTGGGCTTTCCTGGCTTGGAATGTCAGGGGCCTCCCACTTTTCTCTCCTTTCTGTAAAAACCTTCCATGTGTGACCCCGCCCCTTTCTCCCTGTCCCCTGGGATCAGGGAGAGGTATCATCAGGAGGCTTTTGGTGTCCAAGAGTTAGGGTCCAGATAAGTGACCCCCATACCCTTGACTTGGATGGACTGAGCACCTTTTCACGTGCTTACAGGCCATGTGTAGCTCTAACCCGGGGAAGCATCTATTGAAATCCTCAGCCCATTAAAAAAATTAGCTCTTTGTCTTTTTATTACTGAGTGGTTAAAAGTTCTCTGTGTAATTTGGATAGCAGTTCTTCTGTGTTGGAGAAAGCATACAGCATGCAGAGGAAATACTGACTGTAAACATCAAATTAACCAAGCAAGCAGGCACTCAACAGAGAAACCACAGGTTGCAGATACAATGCCTGGAGGGGTGCATAGCAGACACGAACATGAACATGACAGACAATGTGACATTGTAAAGTAACTCATGAGACTTTTAAAGTCTAGGCCTCAGTTGTTTTCCAGATTAACAACCCCCACTACTCCTGCAAGATAGGGTCCAAGAGACACACACAGCAAAGACGTTCGCAGCCCCCAGGTGACCTGCAATGATGGCCCAGCACTGACCCAGACTTTGGATGATGAGTAAAGAGTTTGAGCATGCCCAACAACTGATGCTGCCTGCTCAAGATGCCCTTGCTGCAAACACCATCGTACATTTTCAGACACCCACTTGGCCCAACGCTGGGCACATACCCACTGAGAAGGGGGGACCAGGGAAGAGCTCGTAAAAACTGTATGATGTCACAGGGCAGTAGTTTGGAACCTCGTTCCTCAAAACCCTTAAAATTGTACCTAACATGTTGTTAGTTATCTTTTATTTATTTCGTTTTAATCGTTCACCCACTCAAATCCTTTTCAGTAAGGGGGTGGAAAGGCATGAATGATTAACTGTACCCGCCAATGAAAAGGCCCCCAGTTTAAAGAGGGAAATGTGAAGTCCCTGGAGCTCAGGGGCTTGCCAAGGTCACCCTCCAGGCACGTGTCAGAGGAGGGGAGCGCAGCACAAAGCCGCCGGCGCTCTTTCCATTCCTCTACGCGCCCTCCCACTCTTGAGAAATCCTTTTAAATCACGTCTCCCTCCTCCACCTTGTTTGCAACACCTCCCGATTTAGCCTTCTCTCTGAATTTCATTACTGTCCCATTTACCTCATCTTCCTGATCTCCCAGGCGGGCGTTAAGCAGGAGGAGGTTGGTTGAGTTGGCAACAAGGGGCTCCTGCCTCCTGACTGTGGTGAGAGGGATCCACAGAGGAGGAGGAAGGGGTCCCTGGACACAGCCCCAGATCCACCGAGAGTCCTCCGGGCCATAAACACAGACTGGGGGCCAGGCGGAGTGACTCCAGGGTTCTGAGGGGCTCTTGCTGATGAACACGGATTCCTGGGGGTCCCAATTCCACCCAGCACACCTCTCCTCGGAAAGCCACAGGTCTCCACCGCGGAGCACCTACTTGCCTGTGCAGTTGTACAATCTCCCGGGTGAGAGTGGGGGCTACCTCTGTTGTGGCCCCTCACTGTCTCCTCAGCACCTAGCAGGCCTATGGTAAGTACTCAATGTCTTTATTGTATAATGAAAACCAATGATTCAATTAGCAGGACTTTGTAGGTGGGAAACTTAGACAAGATAGCTAGTTTCTCCAAGCCTGTTTCCTTATCTGTAAAATGAAGGTAATGATCACGTCCACTGTTGCCCAGCCATGGAGGCATTGCTGATTCACAGTGATCCCCCCTGTGGGTTTCTGAGACTGGAACTATTTATGGGAGTAGAAAGCCTGGTCTTACCCCCTTGGAGCTGCTGGTGGTTTTGAACTGCCGACCACATGGATCATAGCCCAACGTGCTACCACTACACCACCAACAGTGACTGCTCACCAAATACCCATGTTTCCCACATTTCCCAGCACCCAAAAAACCAGGCAGGGCCATGTGACCCATTCTGGCCACTAAGCCATGCGTTACTTCTGGGCCGCTGCATTTAGCAGCTAGTGGTCAAGCTCTCGGCTCTCACTTCTGTCAAGAAGGGGCACATGGACCACGTGGAGCACCTGCATCATGGCCAAGCTGTCATTAGCATGGTCCTGAGCACTAGGGAGCTCAGAGGGTTAGACATGGAGCGAGAGCAAGAAATAAATCTTTGCTGTGTTAAGCCACCCGGATCCCGAAGTTAATTTATTGTTGCAGAAGAATAGAGCCTAACTAGATTCATCCTCCAACCTTGTAAGACTGAGGATTAGAAAAAGTGTTTGGTATTCAGTAGGTTCATAGTAGACTGATGTCAATAAAAGGCTTACTACCTCAGTCCCTGACTCCTTTCTCTTGACTCTTCAGCCTTCTTCATTAGCAGCCAGCCTCCATTGATGGGTCTCCCGTTCTCTGGGCCGTTACTCCTCTAGCTTGAGCTATCCTTCCACGTTTCCCTAACAACCCCTTCCCACTGCTTCCATGGCTGCCATCTACAGGACAGGCCACCTACACGGTGGACCGCGCCACTCCCCTGCCCCAACTGCATTCCAAACCCAGTCTCACAGTCCTTTCGCTTTGTTTTTGTAAGACTAGTTTAATGACTGGGGAGAAGAAAGCATATATTTTGCTCACATTTTATTTTCCATCTCTCAAGATTTAGAGACTGCGAGTATGCTCCATATTCAAATTCCTCAAGAAGCCATTTTTTAATTTTGTTTTTCTGCTTGTTTGTTTTGTAATGTTTTCTTGTAGATGAAATCTAGGAGAGGCAAATTTAGAGCGACAGTAACTGACATTGTTTCTTAGAGGTGAGACGGGGGATGTTGAGATGCAATGGGGCGCCAATGAGGGTGACAGCTAATCAGCGGAAGGAAGAATATGTTCTAACATGGATTGCGGTCATGGTTGCACAACTCTTCTTGATGTGATTGAGCTACTGAATTGCACCAGATGTGGATGATGTCCCAATAAAGCTGTTTCCCAAGAGAACGAAGTCATTCCTCTAGCTCGCCAAAACCAAATTCCCTGCCAGGGAGTCAGTGCTGCCTCACTTCCCACTCTGGGACTGCCGACGGAAGTAGCAGACCCAGGCTGGTGGGCTCCACCTGCTGACCATGCCGATCACAGCCCAACTCAGAACCCCGACACCAATAGAGCCCCTCGAGCGATAAGAAATACCAATATACCCAAATGATACATTCCCCCCTCCCCCCTTTAAGCAATCAACTTTGGGTCATATTCCCAAAGCTGGTTGCATTTTACGGGCTAGCATATGACTACTCTGGCTAGTATGCCTCCAATTTCATCCCGGCCCAGCTTCAGACATAATCACCAAACTCCAAGCCCTGCAAGATGATCTCCTGGACAATAGAAAGATCCTGATGGCCACTGCTGCCTCTCTGGTCCTGAACCTGCAAGCTTCCAGAACTTCTATTCTGATCTCTGCTGGACATCCGATCTTCAACTGCCAGCACCTGCTACCACACTGGCTCCCAGCAGCCTTTGCTACTTACCATCAATCATCCTTTACTGCATCTGTTCCCTGGGAAGGCCATCTCCACTATGGCCTGACACCCTCCTCTTCCCATCATGCTTTGTGAGAAAAACTTTGAACCGAAATACATGTGTTCAGATCCCAAGATGGACTTTCTCATCCATAACATGGGTTTGCAGCGGAGAACACACAAAAAAACCAGAGCAAAGGGACTGACCTGGCTCCATGTTAGCCTGTTCCGAAGAGTCAGCAGTATCCGTGGTCCCTGTCGCTCCCCCTCCTGGGCCATCGGATCCAGGAACGTAGTGGTAGGGGCAGGACTCTTTCTGTTGAAGCAGAGAAGACATACCCAACTGAGAATGCTGGCAGGATAACGCCAAGCCCTTTCTCACAAACCTCTTCCCAACAGCCCATGCAAACTGATGACAAGTGGGGCTGTTTGGGACCAATTGTCACAAGAGAAGCAAGCAGGGTCCTAAACACCCTGCAAATCCACGCAGAATAATTCCTCATGCAGCTCACCCCAGGAAACCCTGCACCTTTCCTGTTCTCCCACTGCATCTTCTGCTGGGGGACTAGTGTTCTTGCCTTAGTCATTGTTTACACACCTGTTCCCCCTAGTGGATCAGAGACCTCAAGGACAGTGATGTAAGGTCAGTCTTTGTTACAAATGTCATTTGAAAACGAAGGGCTGGTTGTGTGCTGTACATGGAGCAGGGGGCTGTGTGCTGTACAAGGAGCAGCAGTTCTGTCTGATTCACCACAAAATCAGTCACTTCATCCTCTTTGAAACTTGACGCTGTCAAATGGCCCAATCTTCCCTGTAACAAACCACATGGATCTGTTGGCTTGGGCGTTTGAGTTGGGAACTGTGCAGAGTCTTCTAGTCCTGCTTCTACTGCTGATCACATGGCAACCTCTGGGAAATGGCTCCGTCCCGCCCTGCCCCATGCCTCAGTTTCCTCATCCGAAAGAGGAACCTGCTGAACCAGGGGACACGCGAAGTCCTCTCTGTTCTTAAAATTCTGTGTCAGAATTTGATTCCTCACCACTCTAGTGATTAAGAGAGGCAGTCCTGGTAACCTAGTGGGTGCTAACTACAAGGTGAGCAGTTTGAACTCACTAGCAACGCCCTGGGAGAAAGATGAGGCTTTCTTCTTCTGTGCAGTTACAGGCTTGGGAACCAACAGACATGGTTCAACTCTGCCTACAGGGTCGCCATGAGTTGCTATGAATTTGATGGCAGTGAATTTGGTTTTTTATTAATGCCAACGAAGACACCTGTACCAGAAATGGGCCATCAAATGAGTAAAAGAAATTCTCTTTCATTCAAAAACAGAGTGAGGGAAGGTTTGAGGATTTCAAGTCATTTGCCTTAAACCATTATAAGAAGAAAAATTGGGCTTTGAACATAAGACCCAAAAAGGCTTGGGGTTGGTGTATTTCCATTCTACCCTGTTTGCGTGCACACTCACTCAGGGAACTACAAAATGCCTTTTAAAAAACAAAACACAAAGCTAAATAACAAGGCATGAAAGATGTATTTAGCAATCTCATGTAAACAGTCATTATTTAAGAAGTTCCCCAAATGCATATTTGCCAAATATACCTAGAGATCCTAGCTAAGACAGCCATTATTATCTATTACAAAGTGAAAAATTACTGGCAATTCCCATTAAAAACAAAATTCTCCTGAGTGTGTAATTTTGCTAGCTTCATCTGCATTACATATATTTATTATAGTTGTTCTTCATTCTACAGAGTCCATCTGATAGGGAGGGACATTCACCAGCTCTTACCAAGTACAGAATGTCCCTTCCTCACCCACAGGGGGCAAATTGTTGAATACTCTCAGGTTAGAAGACCTGGGACTGTGTGTGTGTGTGTGTGTGTGTGTGTGTGTTGGGAGAATGATACAAAGTGGACATGGGCATATGGAAGTAAACTTTAAAACATCCTTGCAAATAATGTTATCACTCACTGCCATCCAGTTGAATCCGGCTCAGAGGCACCTCACAGGACAGTGCAGAACTGCCCTGTGGGGCTCTACGACTGCTAGCTTTTACAGGAATAGCACGTTTCATCTTTTCCCTGATACAATGCCACAGTCACTGAAAGCAAAACTCCGTAGTACAATTAGTGAAGTGTGGTGCTACTAACTAAAAGGTTGGTAGTTCAAGCCCACCTACTGGTGCCTCTGAGACAGCCCTGATGATCTGCTTCTGAAAGACCGCAGCCATGAAAACCCTACAGGTAAGTCCTAATTTGAAACAACGTTGACTTAAGGGCCATCAGAATCCACTCAACAGCAACCAATAGGATATGATTTTCACTTTACATATTCTCAAATCAGTAATAATGGCTGTGGTAGTTACATAATCTAGTGTCAAGTTGGGACTTTAGAGGATTAAGAATGAAGGGGTGGAGTCTAGTCTGTCAATCGGGTCACAGCCAATGAGACTCTGTGTGGGCATGGTCTTCTCCGGAGGATTCTGGGAATTCCTGTATTTCCTCCCTGGAGGCAGGAGACACTTCTCACTCTTGGGCTCACTCCCTGAGAGACACTCTACTGACAAGACACATGGCACCACGCAGGTAGACCCTGTGCCCTGGGAACTGGTAGAGCCACGTGGAAACCCCTGCCAGTGCTGAGATGCTTCTACCACCACTGGATCCACAAGACTTCCCACCCACTGGCCTGTGATCTTCCTGCATTCAGCATCATTGCATGTGTTTCATGAGTCTGAAGAGGACTTTATAGATTGGTATCGGACATATGGGCTAATATCAGACTTAAGGACTCGATCTGGACTGTGCTGGAATGTTTTCTCAATGTGCAATTGCTCTTGTATGTAAACCTCTTCTTTGCACATATAGGTGTATTTATGAATTTGTTTTTCTAGTCAACCCAGATAAACACACTGGCTATCATGCACTTAGTTTCTATTTACCATGCCTTACTCATTAGACCTTTATCTCATGAAGTTTCAAAGAGGGCAAGGCCCTTGTTGGCTTCACAGGCATAAGAAGAGTCACCTTTTCTTGTGCCTGGGCCTCCACTTGAGTGTCCAGGGCTTTGTCACTTTCTGGACTCAAGAGGTATTGCCTTTGCCTCCAGGGATCCCACTGCGGTGACTCTCACTTGGGGTCTTTCCCAAATTCCTTTCTATCATACAGGCTGTGAAATTCCAATGGAGGTGTTAGGTATTTACACCTGTGCAATCTCATTTCAACCTTCAACACAGCTGCAGGAAGCAAGCATGACCAGCTCGGTGCCAGAGCTAATGCTGACTCATGATGACCCCATCTGAGCCAGACCCAGTTTTCGAGGCCTGTTTTTAGGGAAAGCTATGTGCCCAGTCCTTCTTCTGAGCCGTCGCAGCGTGAAAAGGAGCCTCCACATTTCCAGTTAACAAGGGAGACCGTCACCTTGTGCACCACCCCAGGCCTCCACGCAAGCCTTGCCTTTCCGGGTTGACTGACAGCTAAGGAAAGGAAGCTTTGACATTTTGAAGCTGATTTCCATTAAGCCCCCAAAGAGCGCGCAGTGGAGACAGGGTCTCCCCCCTGCCCTTTCTCTTTCTGGGTGAGCCATAAAGTGTGCTCACACGGGTGCAGGACGATGCGTGTACACCTGACATAACATCTTTCCGCTCCCAACGCGTCCTTGCTATGCATGATGGTGTGTGCGTGTGACTCTCTCTTCAGCTGCTTGTTGGCAGAACCCGGGTGAAGGGAAGGTACCGTTTCTGTCCTCACTCAAGTCTCCTTATTTCTGTTAGCTTCCCCCAACAACTTCCACATATCAGAAAAAGAGAAGACCCTTCTCCCCTGCCCTCTGACCCCCACCGCAACTCCTTTTTTGGTCTTTCCCTTAACAGTTAGAACAAAACAAAACAAAACAAAACAAAACAACAAAAACAAACTTACTGCTATAGAGTTGATGCCAATTCATAGCGACCCTACAAAGCAGGGTAGAACTGCCCTCTGAGTTTCAGAAACAAACTCTGACAGGGAGTAGAAAGCCCAGGGTGGTTGGCGGGTTCAAACTACTGACCTTGCAGTTAGTAGTCCAACTCCTAGCCATGACACCACCAAGGCTCCTGTCTGAGCAGCTAAGCTGCAGGAACAGGACCTGGAAACCCCAGGGACTGTCATGTGCTCGCAGGGGCATCTGCTGGGGCCACATGAAGAATGTCAATAGCTCAGGCTGTCTCTGGCCTCAGACTTCATGGAGCGTGGCCGCTCCGGGGACTGTCCCTGCACCCAGGACCTGGCTGGTTACCCCGTCAGCCTGGAGACGATCAGGAATGTTCCACCCAGCAGCACGCTTTCTTTAAGGAGGGGGTCAACATTTGCCGCCTTCTGGACACGGGGGACGAGGATGGCTGAGCCTTTCCACTGACCACCCACGGTGTGCTTTCTGAGAGGAAGCCCAGTGCAGCGGCAAGAGCTGAAGTCTATGGAAAACAGGGAGTCTGAAGTGTATTTCACCCAATACGGCTGGGCAGCCTTGAGCAAAACACGTGTGATCCTGATGGATTTTTTCTTTTTAAGGTACAAGACCCTTAATACAGGCATCCTTATTTCATCTTGTCTTTCCAAGTTCAATATTGCAGGCATTGCTTTCTCAGTAAGGTTGTTCTCCCCACGTGTGCAAGCTGAGCAATGGAAGAAATGGGGCAGAGGGAAAGCTTTCATAGCAGCAAGTTCTCGCCCCTTTGACCCCTCCCTCCCTGTCAATGTACACCAGGAGCCGTTTGCACACCTGCTCTTCCACCAGACCAGGAGCCCTTGAAAACAGTGAGGGCTGGATCTTGCCTGGGCCTGGACTGAAGCGGTGCTCACGATCCACCTGAGCTAGCTCATCCTGCGAACCAAACAGCTCACAGTATGTCTACAGTCTCCTGGGATCTTCTTTGCCCAACCAGGTTTGACGAGTGACTTTAAGCAACAGCCCCAGAGCACATCCCAGCCTCTGGAAACCATCTCGTTATGCTGGAAATCATTAGCACTGGCTCTTTGGCCTGGGTACTCTGCTGAGAGGTTTGGTTTCTAACCCAAACCAATTATACATGCCGACATATAACATCTTAATAATCTCTGGACACATCAGATGGGGTTGGGAGATTGGGGGGGGGGGTCTACTGGGATGGTGGAAGGGGGCATGGCCGAAGGGAAAGAAATGAAGCATCAAAACAAGATTCGGATCCTGCCTTTGAGACGACAGAGCCGAGTGCTTGGGGTCAGGACAAATGCCCAGTACAGGAAAGGTTAATTTGTTTCTCTTCTCCTGACCGCAGAGGAAAAGCAAAGCTATACAACT